TCTTAAAAAATAAGTGGTCTTCAGAACTAAAAGATGTATTTTCAAGTCCCTTCACCTCACTGAAATTAATTTTAGCTTCATGCATGGTACTGTATGTGTTAACTTAAAGTTTATTTCCCCCCCCATTTCTTCTCCCAAAGCTTAATCCCATAACAAAGATCGTTCCAAAAAAAGAGTTGCTCCAAATGTTTTGCAATGGTAAAACGTAACATCAGGGCTCTCACAATAGAAAAAAGAAAAAGATATGATATATGTTTGTTTTCAAAAGTATGTACATATATATTTCTATTCAAATATATAGCAAATATATGAATATTGAAAAAAGCAGAGAAATATTAAAGCCGTTCTAATTGAAAATATATATAAAAGATCACAAGACAATCGCTCAGAGTGAAAAACTGCAAGAAGGAAGGAAGAAAAAAAAAGAGGGAAGCTTAAACGGGTAGCACAACCATGGATGGGAGATCTTGGAGAGAAAGGAAGTGGTGTGAAAGAAAGTTAAATGGTGAAACTGAGGTTTCAGGAATGATACAGTGACCCCTTGTGATTTTGTAAATGTTCCAGCTGCAGCGCCTGTGCAGCAGGTAGCAGCCGAAAGGACAAGCACAGTAAAGTTAAATTATAGTGTGAGATTGTGTCGCTGGTTAACTGTGGTCTATGGCTCAGTGCAGAAAGTGTGGTGTTGAAAAAGCAAACAAACAGTAACAAAGACAGCCTATTCAGTAAGTGAGCCTATTGTAATATGTTGTATTGTACCTTCCAAAGGTGTGTTCACAGACTCAATGCCATTACCTGACTATAATTAATGAAGACAAACAGATGAACAAGTATTTCTGTTTCTTATCTGTCATTGCGAGTCCTCCCCAAACTCTGGGACTGCAGGCCAATAAACATACCAGTACAAATTATAACTGTTCATAAATGTATTCATGTTCCCTTTTATTTAAAAAATAGACAGGAGAGAATTTCCATTGTTAATGGTTATGATGCCTTTAATTTTGGCCATTATGTTTCAAGTTGTGCAAATACTTGTTTTCAGAAAGACAAGAGTTTGGGAATATCGCAGGTCTGTTTTAGCAACCGCAAACAGAGGCTCCCTTACTCCAGTTGTATGGATAATGGATGGAGTGATGAAATAAACTCCTGTCCAACCTGCTTTCCCCAGTTCTTGAGTGAAGTTGTCTCTACTGTAAAACACTGATCTGCTGTCAGTTTATGTAATGTATACCTTTAAGAAAAAATTCCACCCTCTCATACTTTTACAGTGTTACTGAAAATATCAATTTACTTGCTTTTATTGCCGAGAGTTAGATGAGAAGATCAACACCACTCCCATATCTGTCTGGTAAAAACATTACGTTCTGTACAAAAGCCAAAGTATAAAAACCACAAGTTATGGTTTTACAGAGGTTATGCGCTGGGCTATTTCTCGGCCAGAAGCATAACCACCTGAAGTCTTATCCTCATCCACAGCAGTCTTGTCATTTTTACAATTTATTTTTTTCCTATGGATTAAACAAACGAACCATAATGTGTTAATTAGTGAGATTTTGTGGTGCTGGTAGGTGGATTTTCTTACCTTCTAGCAGGCCTTTTATCTAATTCTTGGCAATGTAGAAATTAAGAGTATTTCTTATTCCTTTAATGTATTTCAGAAGATGTCTTTTTTTTTATTGAAATGTAATTTTTGTTCTGTATTCTGTCGCACAAAGCTTGACTTATGTGAAGTACACTGTACTGCAGAAGTACTGTGGTGAGTGATTCAGGACTTTGAATGATCCTGAATTCTGGACTTTTTATTAAATTAATATTAATATTAAAAAAGTATATTCTGCCGAAATCATAACCGGTTGTATTAAAGCTTCAATTGACTAGTGGCTTTCAAGGCCAATCGTAAACCATACTGTACATCAATGTTTTACAGTAAATTCTCAGTGAACTTGGCAAGCTGCAAATTTCTTGGCAGCTGCTTGTCTTAACATTTGACAAGATAGCTGCATTGTTTAAATGAGTAATGAGTGATTTAGGGTGGAATTTTCCTTAAAATATAACATCGTTTTTCAAAGTGACTCAGGCTGTGTTCATAAGGCCAACTTCACGCACGCTACTTCCCCAACCTTTTCCACATCTGCTCAACCAATCAGATCTTCCCCTCCCACTGTACCCCTTGCCCACCTATGAATCATAATTTCTACTCCATAATAGACGATTTGTGTACATAGAAAAGTGTTTTGTATAAATGAGTACTATTTTCGACATCTTCACTAGAAACCAGGGCACAATGTAAACTTTGAACTGAAGTTATTGTAATGAAACAGAAGAGGACTTAATGAAAAATTATAGAATTATACAAACACTGCTTTATGTTGATTTATGGACCAGTTAAAACATGTCAGAGTGAACCATGCATAGTTAACAATATTGATTTATTCTTCTACAGGACATTTGGTTACATTGTCTCCTTTTTTATTTATTTTTTGTTATTTGTTAAAAATTGTTTTTGTTTCTTTCTTTTTTTTACTTCACAGGTTGCTTGATTTAGGGTTTGCCTTTTTTTTTTATCCACTTTTTGGGGGGAGGACAGCAGCATTGCATGCTCTGAAAATTTTGCTGGTTCTAAAAGAAAATGGGAAATGGTGAATTGAACAATTTAAAAGGGGGGTTAATTAAAACATTTTAAAATGCAGAGGTTGTTCCTTAAACTTTTATGGGGAAATGTTGCTTCAATTTGCAATTGCTTGTGTTTAACTCTACATTTTCTTTTCTATGAAAACAAACAAAAACAGAAAAAGAGTACTCAACACCTTGTGCAATAAAGCTATCTTTTTATGAACTGTGATGACATTATTCATTCTTTCGCAACCATAGATTTATGATGGATGGTTTTTGTAGTATCCAGTTTTTTACTGTAATTAGAACATGGTAAAGACATGACTGATTTGTTTGTGAAAGAGTTTGTCTTATTTGTCCCTTTGGATTTAAACGTGATCCACAGAACTGTGTGGAGGTTTTATAGGGACTATTTCTTCAGGCAGAAAGTAGTTCAAATTTCAGAGTAATGGGGACACTGGTTCTGGAGACTTTGATTGAATGTTTAAATGTACTTTTTCAATATTGTGAGCATCACAAAAGACATTTTCTTCAACTCTATTGGATTAAGGTAGAGGTAGTAATAATTGTTATCTCAAAACCTAGAAAAGGTGTCTGCATGCGACGGCCACAGGTTAGGGAGAATCATTTTTTTAATTGAAATTTGAGTGACCCAGCTCTTTGATGTGGACTTTTATTACATGTCAAATAATTGAGTCCTCACCTGAATTATCCTGAATGTCTCCATAGATCCTGCTTGTTAGTAATACAACAAAATGTAGTAATTTCAGAAGCTACTTGTGGGTGTAAATCAACATTTAATTTGTTTTCAGACCCCTAATAATAATGACATGAATGAATACAGACAAATAATATAACCATGAAATTCTAAAATAATCCAATACATTTTTAAAACTCAGTTCAGCTATTTATTATGAAATGGGTTTCATTTTTTTTTTTTTGATTATTGCAGGTCGCAATTTTTTTCCAGTGACCACTTTATTTCATAATGCCACTTTTCATTATGAAGTCTTTGTCAATCAATCAAGAGAAAGCAGAGCTTTGTTCCGGATAAGTGGACAGCCAATTATTGTTATTATTTTGATTCTTTCACTAAATTTCACAGCTATATTACAGATTACATTACATTTAGCTTTTATTCAAAGCGACTTACAATTGCTATACATGTCACACGCCTCTGGAGCAACTAGGGGTTAATGTGTCTTATCCGTTGCGCCATCACCACCCCTATATATATTATTCATTTATTACAGTTTTTCTCCATTGCTGAAACACTATTAGCAGGCTCCTTTTTTCAAAAAGCACAACCATTTCCCTAAACTCTACACACAAATCCCTTCATTTCTCATTGCCTACACCATGTGGTCATTGAGAAAGCACTGACATTCAATATTGTCCACTCAATCAGCACAGGTTGAGTTCAATTAGCACACAGCTACCCAGGTGGAAACACAAACAGTCATAATTGATAACACACCAATCAGAAGCTTCAATAGATATATAAAAGGGCCAGAGTCAGTACATTCAGTTTTGGAACAATGGCTAGAGGACACCAGAGAGGAGGCGGAGGAGGAGAAGGAGTAAGAGGTGAAGGAAGAGGAGGAGTTGGAGGAGGAGATGGGATAGGAGGCAGATGAGGAGGTGGAGGAGGCGGAGTAGGTAGAGTAGGAAGGAAGAGGAGGTGGAGAATAAGAATCTCTGGACTGTCCCAGACCAAAGACAGGACGCTGGGGCAGAGTAATTTGTTGTTTGGTATGTTGTACTGTACAGTACACTAACGAATACCAAAATGTTCAAATTTTTACATTTGTTATTTCTTTTGTGTTCATCATGTAAAAAGGTTTTTGAGGGGGAGAACCACACCCAACATTACTAATAACCAGTTTTTGTTGTATTGTTTTGAATTTATCTCATCAGTGTGTAAGACTGTGTTGTAGTGTGTGTTTTTGAGGGCTTGTGTGTCATGTCTGAGTTTGGTTTTTCAGCAAGATTGAAGGTTTTGAGTGGAGAGCTTCATTTTGACCAGAAAATTGGATATAGAATTGGGTGAGAAGCTGTGGATTTGTGTTTAGAGAGAAAAAGAGGCATAATTTCAAGAAATGTGTCTGAGCATTCGAGAAAAACTGTTATTAAACCCACAATAATTATTAAGTAAGTCTGGGTTTATTCACGTGATAATTCAATGCCATGTCTATTTATTTATTCTGAACACATGATGTCTCCATACAGCCCCTTAAAATACAAATTTATTCTTTAAAATGCATGGGGGCTTTTAAGGGTACTATTGTATTATAGATGAACCAGCTGAAAATGTAGCTCATCCATAATATTATTCATAACCTGATCAAAACACTAGAGGGCATTATGCTGCCATGAAATACAACACAGGCTTACAGAGGAGTTTATTGAAATACTGTAGGTTGGTAACATTTTTACATGTTTTTGAAAGATCCACAATGTTGACAAATTATTAGTTTCCCCCCATATTTATATACGCAAAACACATATAAATTACATCATACTCAAAGCCACTCACGCACCCAGTCCCTCCCAGCACATCAAAACTAATCACTCATTCAGATGTACAGTATTTTAACATGTATTTTTCACTTAGACTTTTAAATAGAATATTAGAAGCTATTTGAGATGTGAGCTATTACTGTATCGTGTTTATAATGTGTCACTAATCTAGGATCAAGTATTATTTATCATACAGTTTAAATGTATATACATTTGCATATGAGTATATGCATTTGTGTGTATCATTACAGAGTTCATCCGTCCTTTGGTGAATCCACATCGTTCCACCTGCTTCCTGTTTTCTCTCAGGCTTGCAGCACCAGCACCAGCATCCCTCTTCCCGGTCCATCTACTTGCCATTCTTGTGTTTCTTCTGTTGGAACTTCCTGAAATGGGTCTGGATGGTGGCAGCGGCCTTCTCAACTTCAACAGGGCTGAGTGGAGGAACAGGTGTGGTGCACGTCCCATTGCTGGCATTGGAGTCTGAGCACGACAGGACACATGGGATAGCCAGAGAGGCAGTAGCAATAGCCATGGAGACATAGTCTGTAGCAATGATTAAGTTCAAACACATGGTTTACTTATTGCCTTGATTCAAGCGGGCTATTTTTCTGATTAACAGTTGAGACAGTTGGATTGGACACTTGATTTGAATCAAACCCTAGTGGTAACTTTAAGATGACAATTATCACGGCAGAAAAATAGCCTGCATTTAGTTGAATTAACAGTATCACTTACTCTTTCTATACACGCCTATGCTGTTCCTCCTGAAGCCATCAAACTGTAAATTAAACAGAATAGCTGTGCGTTAGAAGACACTCACTTTTTTTCCTTTGCGCGTCACAAAGGAGAAAAACAGGAAGCATCAATTGTGAGAATGCGATATCAGTCAACTATAAACATTATCAGTGTTACAATCTTATCTGAAATGTTGTTCACATACCACTGATGCACAAAAATCAGACAAACATGCAAACAGATAACCAAGCAGGATGTTTGGCTACATTCTTCTGAATCTCAACTGTACAAAATGTGCAGTACTTGTGTGACGAATGTGCAATATACATGTGTGACTGCACCTGTATGTGTCCTTTCTATCTACTGTTAGGGAAATGACCTCAAACACAAATCCCCTTGATTGGGATTACAGCTCAAGCAGAGCAGCGGCAGGGAAGACAGAGGCTGAGGACTGGACCAGTTTAGCCTGCTTACCATTTTTTGGATGTGTGCCTGCATTTAGTCCCCCACACAATGGCCCCATGACCTCATCACTAAGGAGAATTTAAACTGGGGCCTGTCTAATACACAGAATGTCTTTCTACACCTCTGCCTCTGTTTTGTTAACTCCCTTGCTTCGTGTTGCATTTGTTGTGGGCTTATGCGTTCTTTTGCTTTCTCGTTTCAGCACCTGTGCCCTCGGTTAACCACCAACGTTCCTCTTCCTGCAGTCCAGCTCTTTGCCTCTGTTTGTCTTTTTATTTGCCAGCTTCATATTTATAAAAGTCTAGGTCAGAAGGAACCTTCAAACCAGTTACCTCAAACTAAGAAAAAGGCACAAAAAATCCACAGACAGATGAACTACAGTTTGTTATGCGTAAGGCATCAGAGGTGTGCACTTTGGACTGAAATGAAATGGGCTTCTTGATTCAGGAATCAATAGTGAAAGCCTGAGGAATAGCTAAATAACTGTGAAATTGTGGACAGTGTTGCCAGTAGTCTCTGTACAAGGATTTATTGATTCGGTGAGGGCCAAAAGGTCATTCTTGAACTGAATCTGATGCAAAACCCTACTTTATTTTATGGTATTATTTAGCTGGTGATGTTTGAGTGTAGAGGCACCAAAAGTCATCTTAGTCTTGTAAATTAAATTCCTCTATTTTCCTTTGCTGTCCTCCTCTGAGACACTATACGCAAACATAAGACACGTGACTAAGCTTATATGCTTACATGCTGAGTTGAGCTTGGTTGCTGACCTTTCCACATGCTCCGTCTCGCCATTAGATCACAGAAGATTAGAAAAGCTAATTTATGATGAAAAATTCCAGCCACATAGCAGCATCCAAATAGCAGAAAAAGTTTATTTTTCTTCACAAACTACTATCAATGTTTCTGTGAAAAATGAAATCCACAGAGGAGCAGTCCAGAGTGTATGTGTCATGTGCCGAATGAATGTGCAGCATATTAGCTGTAAGGAATCAATTGCTTTGGTGCGTCAGCATGGCAATGTGTGTGACAGCAACCATACAGAAGTTCAGATCTCTTTACAACTAACCTCATCAACTTTGCTGCTCCTCCGACTGTGTGACACTGAGTGAACCTGCCAAGGCAAAGGCTGAGACACCATGTAAGGCAAAGGGTCCTGTTGCCGTGCAAAACGTACCCCTATCTGAAAGGGAAAAAAGGAGTCTAGGTAAGAGGTGGCACTGTGTGTGTCGAAGGCTGAAACATAAGCAACCTCATCACTCACTTTTACAGTTGAAGGCCCATTTTTTTGAATATCTTTCCCACAGGTCTCAGGATTAATTATAAAATAAATGTGAAAAACATTACTTTTTCGGACAGCTTGGCCCACTTTGGCCCATGTTTTTCAGTGGTACATGGCTTTGCACTGCTGAATTTGCTAACATTTTGACACTTTTTTTAGATAATAAGTGGACAGGAATGCTGCACATTAAAAGTTTGGTTTAACATCACATTAATATCATTTGGATGCTGTCGATATAAGTCTAATTATAATTTGACTTTGACAGCCTGTTTTAACATCACCCTAATCACATTCTGATGCTGTGTACATAAACCTGATTTATATTTGACATTGACACCCTGGTGGGTGAGAATACAATGTTATGGTTGCAGCAAAAACACAGTGCACTTTACCCACAAATGTATTCCTTCTAATATGGAAATATTCCTCATATTTGTTAATACAAATATACACAATATTTTAATATTGAAGACAGTTTAAAACAACCAGAATATTAGCATAACACATTTAATACATGTTAAAACTAATCTCCCATAATTATAATGAACTGAATTTCTATTTCTATTCTTATTTGTATTCAGTCTATCATTCTAATCATCTTACCGATTCTACGACTCTGACCATCACATACATGGCTGTTAGCATGGTGATCAACATCTTGACCACTATTCCTTGAGCGTCTCCTTAATGTTTTCTTCGATTTTCAATTACTTTCCTCAGTCCTGCTGGAGAAAAGATCCACACAGGAACAGATCTGAACAATCAGGAGTGCAACATGGGGCTGCTCAGTGGAAGGGCAATTGAACGCGCAGTGTTGTGAATGTCCACTCACACAGGTACACAGACACAAACATGCGCACACACTCCATTCTCACAGTCTGTGACACACGAAGGTAAGACTGCTAAAGAGCTTTGCAGGACAGAAATAGAGAAGCCGTAAATCTTTCCTCTGCACAACACTTATCCTCCCAGACCAGGTTTTATTCAGACATGTAGGATTAAAAAAAGAATACTTCTCACTGATCATTTTATTTGCATATCATTTTATCTTCCTTTTATTTCATTTTTGCGTGCCAATTATACAAGCTCATGTGTTACACTGGTGTGACTCAGGGTGAACCTGTTTGACATTTTTGACATAGGTACCACTTTCTAATGAGGCACCTTTATGACGTGTTTATATGTTGTAACTACTGAATTTTATAATGGTTATTAAATGAATTACTCATCCTGTACCAATAAGTAATAAGATGCGGTTAAAATGTTAGTAAGCCATCCTCCACAAAACTCCACAAACCTTTTCCATAAGATGGTCATTCTGTGCAATAAATCAAAGGGAGTTTTCACAACCTGGCAACCCAAAAGTTGCTCTCATTAATGGCCATTCATGACAGCTTTATGTTTCACAACAAGCCTCTTATGAATGGTGGTTTATTAGAAAGTGGTACCAACATGAACAATTAGGTTAATGTAGTGTAGATAAATAAATGATGCCCACTTACTTTCAATAAGATTCAAGATAAAGTTGGCTGATGATGCTTGTAGATAAAAACAAAAAGTATAAATCGGATTAAATAAATTAAATTAAATACTTTTTAAATTAAACTCAAAATAATTGTTAAAAACATAAACTGCTAATCTCATCTGAAAATTTTAATTATGCTGTCTATATGCACTTTAATTTTTATTGCAACTTTCAGCTCTAAACAGAACTTCATGAACATCCATACAACACATCACCAAACAATACAACACTGAACAAAGACAACACAAACAGTTGTCAGAGGCAGTTCAGACATGTATACAATCTCAATCTCAGTTATTCGTTAACTTAACATTTCAGTTGATTGTTGGCATCATGTTTCTTTTCAAAGATACCACCTTTAATCTGAAACCATTATTCTTTCCCAGGAGAATGCAGTATCTGTTCTTTGTACAGTCCCCTTTTAGTTCCCTTGGTACATCACAGCACAGTTGTTTGGAACAACATATCCCATAATGTCTTTTAAAAAATTGCATTTACATTATTCCAGTAAGGCTTTAGTTTACTGCAGCTCCAGAAAACAGGGGTATAGTAGGCATCCAGATTGCCACAGAGCCTCCGAAATTGCTCTGAAGCTGCTGCATATGCGACCCAGCTCAATACAATTCTTTCCCTCTTGTGTTTATATTCCCTAATTATCTTGTATTTGCACTTTCTACATATTTTGATTTGATCTGATATTGGGAAAATATAATAAGAAGGAGAGAAGGGTGAAAACTGGGAAAGACAGTTTGAATCCACCTGTATTTACAAAATGGAAAACCATATTTTTTTGCAGCAAACGTGTCTGAGTTAAATCTTTTTCTCTACCTGAAATACATATAATTACATAAATGTTTTTAGCAAATCATGGCATTTTGTAGGGTCATAGAAATGTTAGATTTTGGCTGGCTGTGAACCAAACTCTTTTGGGATTATAAAGTTGAAGTTGAAGTACAGGATATTGTATTTAGATAAGGACTCTTATTTACTGAGATTGTGCTCTCTGCAAGTAGTATGCCAGGTATGTATTTGTAATAACCAGATATCTGAGAGATCACACATGACCAGGGTTTTGTGCGTCATTGTGTGGAGCCTCACCTCTGACACTTGCAGACCAATGATAATCTTTTGGGCAGGTGTCTGCCACCAGGCCCTGCACTATAGACAGACACGGTCTGCTGTTATCTGAATATCAAGCCTGTCATGTAAAGAAGTTTTACGAAATCACTTATTTCACTTGTTTACATGTTCCTTGATATGTGATCAGTGTGTGTGTGCATGTGACTGTTGTCTATTTCATAGGATTAGATCTAGCAGGAATGTGTCTTGTCACTGAACCGACTGGTATAAGAGCTCTCCTGACAGAGAGACACAATGACCTAGCGACAGAAGAAAAGTGAAGGATACTCGTTTTCTTTTACCAAGCAATTATGAGGAGAAATAGGTAAGAGCATTATGATTTTAGTATCACAAAGATTATTTGCCAACATTTGCCTTACTAGCGTATATATTTGTCTAATTTGAGAAAGTATACATGAAACAGCATACTTGTTGCATGAAGATAAATACTTTTGTGCAGAAGGGTAGTTTACTCACATTTACTCAGGTACTGTACTTAAGTATAATATAGTATAAGTATAGTATTAAGTATAATTTTGAGGTACTTGTAATTGATTTCAATATTTCCATTTTATGCTACTTTATCTTTCTACTCTACTACATTTCAGAAGACTAAATTGGACTTTTTGCTTCACTACATCTGTCTTACAGGTGGAGTTCTGACTTCTAACACTAAAATTTAAGATACAGAAAAGTGTGATCAGCTTATAAAATACAATGTGGTAAACACAGCATTTACTAGTGTTAGCTAAAATGCTTGATGCCATCCAAACTGGTAAGCTGGTGTATTTTGTGGTGAGCAGTGCTAAATGACATACGAACTTACTCCTTACTTTCACCAGTATAATTGCTAACAGCTGCTTAATAATAATATTCCAACTTTTCAATGAGATATGGCCACTGCTCACCAATGGAAAGTTGCCAAACTCAAAACTAAAATAAGCTAAATCTAAAGAGCTGTGAAGTGGTAAAACTGAGGAGTAATCATCTCAATGTTGAGCTGTCAGTGGTGTGCTTTATCTTTCTGACATTCTCCTGATCTGAGTAGATAGTCACTACTACATAGTAGTGACTATGTCAGTATTTCGTGTTCAGCCAGTCATGATGCAGGTTTTATTGTGAACAGCAAAATAAAACTGGAACTTGCTTAATGAAGCATTTCAGGAAGATAACATTCCAGACCAACCTTTTGAGACAGAAGGCTACACCATTATTCTAATCTACTTTATGTTAGACAACAGAGATGTTCACATTTGCAGATCCGTATGTTATAGACCATAGAACCTTGCAGTAGTATTCATGTTATGCATTTTAATCGCAGGTTTCCAGTCAACACTCCTGATTCTTAGTGGCTGACCAGAGAAGAAAAAAACTTGTTTACAACAGAGAGAAGCGATACTCTGGATGTATCATGTCTTTTAAGTTTCCAAAGAGGCTGAGCAGCAAAAAGAAAAGTATGTTTTTTTATTGTTTTTCAGTTATTGTGGCATCATAGAAATGTGCATTATTTTTACCATTTTTCTACTTAAATATGCTAAGGAAATTGTAGATGTCTAAATGTTCTACACAGATGTATCCTACCTTATGCATTATATTGTTTTAAAAAAATAATCTACTGTATAATTTTGAATTTTGAAAGAAGGCATCCAAGCAGGAATAAATGTAAAAAGGTATGACTTTCTCATTCTTATGCTTGTGGCAGAGCAGTAGTGTGAGCTTTAGAGAGGTCAAACCATATGCTAGCTAAACAATGGTTTGTCAAATCTGACTTTGCGTAAAAGTAAAGATCTACTCTGGTTGACAACGGATGCACATATTGATTATGTAGTGGAACAACGGTGTGGATTTGTGCAATTTTTATTAAATAAATTTGGAGCTACTCCAAATTCCTCCGTTCCTCTCCCAGAGAGGCGCAGGGGGTTAAAGATCAACTTCAACAGACTGCTGGGGAGACCCCAACGGAAGGGGGGAGGGAGTTGCTTTCTTTAAGTGCTAGGCCTGGGCAGTTGATCGTAAAACTGGCACCTTTTTGATCTACGAAGCTGATAACGCGGGGCCTGACTGTTAAACTGACAAAGGGACACGAACCAGCGATTAGCATTTCCCTGAACAGGCTATCAAAACTGGCCCCCCACACGTGTAACCGTGGCAACTGACCTTGCTCTGTGTTTCATTACCCCATCAAAGGGATACCCCTGTCTCACCCAAGTTGTGACATAACCCAGGAAGCCAAACTTTAAATAACCAAAGACTGGAGTCTCCAAAGACTCAAAGCATTTAATTAAGTTAATTAAATCTTTAGTTACCTGATTACGTTTGCCTCTATTTGAGTAGTTATGTTAACATGTTGTTGTTATCTGTTGTTGATATTAGTGCTGAAAAGAATCTAAATAAGTTACTTTTGCAGTGTTTTTTATCTTCAGCAAGACACTCCCTCATCTAATGTAATCAATGCTTGTTCATAATACTTTCTTACAAAATTCCTTTAGAAATGATAATAAAGGAATGTTTTACTATATTCTTAATCGCCAGCTTGAATTTAAGGATGAATCAACAATATTCCCCGGTTCCTAAGGAGAGATGATCTTGGATTAATCTAAGCTTTCCTCATGTAACCTGAGCTCCCCCAAGTGGACGAAATAAGTATTACATACCCTCGTTGGAAATGCTGTTAAATGTATAAATATCCTGACCAATAATGTGACAATTGTTTCCTGTTACCAAATGCTTAACTTAGAACGGTACAACTGTTCGACCATTGAGGTTCGATTGTGGAAAATATTTGATTATAATACGCGCAAATAGATTTTCTTTTCTTTTAGACATTAAGTTTAGAAAGGCAGTCCCTCGGGAAACCTGAAACGCCCTCTGGGGAACCACGCCCCAGACAACAAAAGAGCGACACGCGACGTCGTTCACCCTCTTCTCTTCTCTTCTCTTCTCTTCTCGGCTCTCTCCCTCTCTTCTCTGCTCTCTGGACGCTTCGGCACGCGTCAGGCAACGCCCTAAGAGTCGGCCAGCCCTTTGTTCGCTTGAAGCTACACACGCGAAGTGCCGCGGCATCGATCTGCCCCTCAGTTTGTTTTATTTTCTTTCTTTCTTTTGTTTTGTTAAAGTTATCAGTCCGTTAAGTTACACTGGATTAATTCAGAAACAACCAAGTTCCATTTTAAGCTTTTTCGTCGAGCCAACTTCACCGAGGTCAGACCAAGCCACGTGGTCTCGCCAGCGGCAACGAAGGAAACCTGAAAACAGCCGAATTGCCAGAGGAAGGACGGCGTTTTCTTCAGTCAGACACGGAGAACCCCGGAGAATCCCTAGCAAAAGCCAGGATCGGGCAGCTAGCGTGGGACCCGTGCAACAGACCAAAGCAGGCCCGACAAGCCATAAGACCTAACCAACATTCTGTGGTCAGAGATGTACCGAAATGTTAATATTTCCTTTTAATTCCTAAATTCATAGCTTACTTTCATTAGTTCTCCTATGCTCAAATGCTTCCCACAATCGAACCTCCAGGCTCATTGTGCCGCCATTGTTTATTTACCCTTTTATATCACATTAGTTAGAGAATAAATTCACTGCCTATTTCTACGTCCCTGCCAAGAGAATTGACCCTTTATATATGAGACTGACTGATTTAAGATAATTGAGCGATTATTAACTAACTGATCACTAGTAATAATTTTATAATTATTAAAAGCTACCTAGAGGTCCGGAGACTCCTGGAACGAGGAATAATTTTGATTTAATGAATATTAAAATTCATAATTGGGTATTAATTCTCATAAATGTATTCAAATGCATAACTAAATTTAAGCCTGCTACAATTATCACGTGTGCAGTTCTGCAGACAAATCAGTGACACCTTGTATAGACACTGCTGCAGCAACCCAAGCCAACACACAACTGTTACCCCTAAAATGTGTCAGCTTATCCAAATGTGTGTACATCCTGCTGTTGCATAATGTGTGCATAACAACCATGATACCAAATAATTTGGTTAGCTGTCAAGTTAAATTTGAGGAGGTCTGTTCCTGCCATTAATGATGGCAGAAATAATTTTGGGCATGTTTGAGCCTCCTGTGATTTCTGTGGCGTTGGAAACTAAATGAGATAAAACCTGCAGACCAGAAGGGATGGACTTTCAGGACTGCTGAATGTTTTAATGTGTTTACTCATTAATGATAATTGAGTTGGTGGCAGCAAGTGTAAATTCTGATGGTTATGGCACCACGGGATGGTCTGTTCAGGGGGAACACTGCTGTTTTGTTTACAGGTACATCTGAGACTCTGAGCTAAAATGTAATGGTTAATAAAATGTTTATAATAACTGTTAATGCTCTCTGGTACATATAAGTTTAACAGTTTATATGCAACATTAACAACATTAATAGGAAATGTATTGACAGATGACCATGACTTTTTAGATATTTCTTCTGGGTTATAATTAAAAAGCAGAGTCTCTTGTTAAGATGGGCATACACTATGTGTTAATTGTCTGCGATGTAAAGCCAAAACTCATGCTTATGTGCTCACACTGTACAGTCCGATTGTCAAGCCACAACCTCTGCACTCACACTGTACTAGTAAATAGAAAATAAAAGGGCCCATTGGCCCATTCTGGGCCGTTCTCAAAGATTTTCAAAGAACTAGAACATTTTTTCCACTTTACTAAATACATGTTTCTTTTTTTGATCATATAATTATGTAATAAATAAACTAAATAAATATATACATTTTTTACACTTACCTGGATCCAACTTTATTACTGCCTAAGGTTTAAAAATGTAGCTAATCCTAAGCCTGATGATTAACTTGTTTTTTTCAAACCAGAACCTCCAAAGGACAATGCCCAGGCAGAGGTTTTAAATATGCTGGGCCTGGAGGCCTGCTTGACTACACCACTGGACCCAGCGTCTATGTTAGACATCAGCACTTGGACCCTGGATACCCAAGCTCCTCTAGAGCCCAAGGATCTACCAAATGCTTTCCTCCAACACCTTTGGCTGCTTAGCCCAGATGCCCGGAGTCCTTTCTACAAACCTCCACATGATGTTCTGAACAATGCCAACAAATCACCCGAGGAGATAAATGGAGGAGATAGCCAGTGTGCCATCAACCCCCTTGATCTAGTTACAGCTGTCTTTATGTCTGCTAACACTTTTCTTCAGCAGGAGATGACTGTGCGCATGGTGCAATGCCAGTTTGCTGTGCCCCTGGTCCTTCAAAACATAAATCCAGTAGAACCCAGTCACTTCCTTCTTTGGCCTTTGAGAGGTGTTGTGAGCCAATGGAGATCTCACTTTCCGGATAAAAATAATAAGGTCTACGAAGGACATTTGGCAAGCACAGACATGCCAATGATTTCTTGTGTGAAGCTTGGTCATTGTGGTGTCTCCAAGTCAAAAGTGCTAAACAATGTTATGAGTAGACTCAGAGCTCCCAAGGAAACATTTCTCCACAGGGGGGTGGATGGAGGACAGCTGCCCCGAAGACTCTCCAATGGCCTGGTAGAGATTGGATGGTATCTACCCAGTGGAGACACTGCTAGAGATATTTTCCCTGTCCCTGTAGTCATCTCTAACCTACGTGGTGATGCCAGTACACATGAAAAAAACCTCAGTCTTCTATGTCAAGCGTCTTCAGCTGTGGTTGTCTTCTGTGGGGATCTTGGGGAGAAAGAAAAACAAATTCTTGCTTCTTGTAAGGATATGGCAAGCAATCTCATATTGATTGACCTATCAGACACTGAGCAAAATGAGAACAGAGTTGTGGGGTTTGTTGATCAGAACCTTGAAAAATATATGGGGCTTCCCAGAGGATCAGTGCTGCAAGGGAGAGCTTTGAGTGAAAAGGAACTGGCTAATAGACTGTGTGATACCCTGAAAGATCTTTTGCCAGATAAACTGAAACTTGTTACACTTGAGGGAGTAGCAAAGTTAGCAGAGGATCTAGGCCTTAACGTGGATGAGGGGGCAGTCTGTAAAAAGGCAATGGCTACAGTGGAGAAAGTACTGAAAGGTTTAGATGAGGGATCTGATCAATTTAGGAAGAAACAGCTTCCTCTGCAGGGGGCTTTGTGGAGCAAACTGGCTGAAATAGAAAAGGAGGAGAGAAAACAGATAAAAGAAGGAAAAAACATCAACCCCCAACTTCAAAAAGAAAAGAAAGTCATCTTGATAGAATTGAGCAGCTACAAAATGACCCCAGCAATGAAGATTTTCACAGATGCGCTTTGCACATCAAATAAAGGGGAGAGGACATATTTCCTTAGTTGGATGAAGCTGAAGCTTCAGCTGATGCAAACTGAAAAACAGAACAGTCCAAAAGATCTATTCACAAACCTGCAGACAGAAATGGAAAACTTCATGCCCGAACATTCTGATGAGCTTGAAAATGCAATCAATAACTACCTAGGGGACAGTTTGTACACAGATTCAACATCTGAACAGGAAAACACTGAAGAGCAGCCTGTAAATACTAAACTGCAAGTTTCTGAGCAACAGTTTCAGATAGGCCAAGAGTTACACCATGTTTTACCTAAGTCTACAGAAAAGACCATGGAACCACAGTCACAACAGAAGGAACATCTTGTGTCCACACATGATCTAGCCATAGAGCAGCAGTTACGTATGACATCCAATGGAAAAGAGATTCAAGATGAAGAAATGATTGAAAATGGAAACTTGAGCTGCCATGGGGAACAGCGGGATAAACAAGAGCTGACACTAGCTAAGTCAGATTCAACTTCTTCTACCACACAACAAAGGTGCCAAGATTTTTCCTTTAAGCATCCGGAAGCCTCATGTTCACAGCCTTTTGAACCTGATCTGGCGTTACTGGGGCTTGAGCATTTTTTGCGTGAGATGGGCCTAATTTTTGAGCTGACACACATCAGCCCAGGCAGTGGGAGCCAGAATGTGTTGCGTCTCCCCAGCTTAGCAACAGACCTTCTTCTCTATGGGATTCCACTTGAACTAATGGATGGCAATGCCTCAAACATCCCCATTCACTGGCTGGGCTGTGTCTTTGCAGAACTCAAACGCCGCCTACCTCAAAAACAGTGCAGGGTCCAAGCGCTGACAAACCTTGGAGTACATCATGCAAGGAACGCTAAGGTTCTTTCTGCATTATTTGGGGTGAAATTTCCTGAAGGAAGAAAAAGATCCACTAGAGGGTTGTACATGGCTGCCCTGTGCCTCCCCAATAACCTTAGAAAGGACATGGAGTGTGATTTTCTATTATTAATTGATGCAGAAGGTCTCTGCTCAATATCTTTACACAACAAAAGAAATACGCTGATCCACGACAATGAGATGGCCACTGTTGCAACAGGATTGAGTGATGTTTTAATGCAGAACATCTCTTCACATGCGGGTAGCGAGTTTGAAAGTAACTTCACTGTCATAGTCAATGCTCTCCTACGCATCAAAGAATGTGGCTCCATCCCCATTTGCCAAGTCCTGGCCCAGGATGAAGGAATAAACAGCATATTACAAGCCACACAGTTGAGCCGTGTATATGAGATGCTTCAGACTGAGACTGGGTACAGAGGAACTAACAATTCTGATAACCATTATGGAAAGACCACAAACTTTGTCAAAGGACCTTGGTACAATATGTCTCTCTCTGAACCAGTTGGTTCGCAGTATAGTAAGGCTGTGTTAAACCTTAAGCAAAACTTATTTGGGGCATTGAAAAGGTGTGCAGCTAAGTCCAAAGCCACAGGTCTGCCCGAATTTATGAGTCGTTTGATTGCTGTTTGGGATGCAGTGACAGCAGAATCATTCTCCATTGGTCTGCAAAATACTGACAAAGCTTTAGCGTTCTCTTTATTTTGCACAGAACTTTCCCAGTGGGAGGATAGTTTCCTGGAACACATGGAAAGATGGCTTATGGGGGTAACAGAGAAAATCTTAGCCACAAAGGCAAAGGGTTTAGATGCTGCAATCCAAAATGACCTTCCAAGTGAGTTCAAGGATGAAGTCAGAGAAGAAGTCAAAACACAGGTGGACAAACTGAGGTCAAAAGCAGAGGCCTATTTGATGAAAGAGGACCTTCTTAAAATGAAGACATTCATAATGAGCAATATGGATGACCTCCAGGAACAAGTAACTGAAGAGATAATACAAAGGATGGAGACAGTCAACGAGAGCCATTGTTATTCCACGCAGCTGAAAAAATTTGAGACATTACTGAAAAAAGAACAGGAATCTAAGCTACCTGCACTGATAGAGAACAGCAGGTCAACTAAGGTTCTCTTTGAAGATACAGAACTAGAAGAGGAGTTTGAGAGTGTGTGGAGTAAGACATTGTCAAACTTTGACTTCAGGCCTTCAGAAACAGATGATATTACTACAAGAGTGACAAATATTCTAAAAGAGAATCTAATCATCCGCGGGCTCCAGAAACATATAACAAAACTTGAAGTCCTCGGCCAAAACCAGACATCTAGCTTCCAAGTTAATGATGAGCACTTCGGATACCGCAGCAGATTAAAACATATGTTTGAAGAGAACAACAGACCAAACAAGTTAGAAGCTCAACAGGTAGCATGCAGAATCATAGATGAATACAATCAGTTTGTAGCAGATAAATATAGCTCACCAGCAGATTTCTCTGACAGCTACATTACAAAACTGTTAGAAAATGTTGAAAATGCTTTGAAAGAAAAACCTATGGAAATAAGATCAGCTTTTGAAGTTGATCTGAAGGTTTATCTCTGCAGGGCTGCTTGCCAGGACTTCCAAAAACTACATGACCGCTATGCCAAAGACAGAGAGCTTTTGACATGTCTCACTGCAACCAAGAGTATGTACTTGGCTGAGTTTATCTACCAGTTCAGGAAGAGAGACCAGTGCCAGAGGGTGGCTCAAGCATTCACCTCAATGATCATCAAACCTACGGTGTTGGACTACATCTACAGACCACTGGGGATGCATATTGTAGAAGAGATCCAAAGTAAAGCTCTGCAGTATCAGTCCCCACGTGCCTTCCACCTAAGGTTGCTGGAAGAGCTGATAAAAGAAGACTGCTTTGAAAGCTTCCTGGAATATTTGCTTCACTATGACAACTTCAGACTGAGGAAGATCCAAGAAACAGTGGTGGCTCACATCTCTGAATCAAACAACTTGGGAAAATGGAGGCAACAGAGGCTTGGAGAAATTATAGGAAAGATTGCGGCAGCAGTGAGCCAAACGGCAGAAGGTACCAATGGACTATTGAGCGATGCAAAGCCACTGTTGGAGAGAGTGTGCCTCACTTTAGAAAGAGATGGAGGTGTGGATGTCACCAAAGCCGCTTTGGATGGGCCTCTGTTTGATATCACCACTGAATGGGATCGCTTTATCACATGTTTAATGGAGTTACTGGCTGCCATGCGGTTGGAACTAGCTAAGGAGTTCTCCCAAAATGGGGATATCACCCAACTTTTTCAGTGCCTTCCAATTCAGCCCCAGGAATCCCTCTTCAACAGAGTGAGAGGCTGTGACAAGCAGTGTCCTCTCTGCAGAGCCCCCTGTGAGTTAGAGGAGATGGGGCACGAGGTTCACCGGGCTCTGCTCCACAGGCCCAAAGGCGTGTTCCCCCATGACTCGGACTCTCTTTCCTGTATCAGTTGCGCTGAAAGCATGACCAAGGGCAACCCAGACCAGAGCAAGGACATGCACAACATGTCTGTGGCATGCAGGGTCCTCCATTTACTCTACCCAGACTGGAGCATCTCCCCTGACGACCCAAACAGCCAGATGCCTGATCTTTACTGGAGGTATAGTGAGGATTATTTAGGCTTAATTATTATAATTGTAATTGGTTAAATGTGTCTCTTACATAACATTTGTTATGTACAGTATATGCATTTTTATATGCAAATGTTCTTTAATTTACAGGTATGTGCTGGCGAGGTTCAATGAGAGATTTGCAAAGGAATACAAGCAGGAGCCAGCAAAGATTCCTGAGGAATGGAAGAAGATCACTAAGGAGGAGGCATTGTACAGCCTGAACGAGGTTGTCACTGGACAGTGCTGAAATAAGGGCTGCCCTGTGCTGTGTGCTGTTTTGATCATATGACATTTTATTGATCAAGTTCAGGTTTTATCTGGATTAGAAGAATTTCACAATTATCAAAGATGTTGATGATAATTGTAATGATGAACAGAAGGTGAATCAAATGGACCATTCAATGACATCACACTGATAATGATAACTGATTTGGTTTTGTTATTTGCCTTTTCTTTTTATCGTTTCCTTAGTAAGATAATGTCTTTTGTGTAAAATATGCTTTTATATAATATTCCTCCATATTATACTAGTTTTATTTTAGTTTTCTCCACTGCTTTCTGATCTGACAAGAAAATGTGAAACATTTTAAGGTATTACCATGCATTCAAAACCAACCAATGATTAAAAAAACAGTAAAATATAGGTTGTTTGCTTTTTAAACATTTGTCATTCAAAAGAAATATGAATGTGTTGTAATTTAGATAAGGGCAGAAATAATAAATATGTCAGAATCTACACATCAAATGTTTTATCTTATCTTTTCCCCCCACATAGCCTTGCTTATAACAGTGATTTACAGTATGTATCAGAGTGCAGTAGCTGTTGCAAATTGCAGACACTGACGAGGAGGATGCAATTTAAGATGAACAAAAACAGTTAAATCAGAGACACTTTAGAGCCTAAAAAAACTTTGGTTAAAGCCAACAAAAGGCAAGGTATTCCAAACACAATGGAACAATCCAGAAATCCAAGGGAAACAGAGCACAAGGCAGAACACTCAACATCAGACAATGACACCACAAGGACTGAACACAACTGAGGGCAATATATACAGGGCCACACACACACACACACACACACACACACACGCGGGCAGGGCACTTACAGTTTTTTTCAATTGCTAACCTGCGTTGGTCAAAACTGAAGTCACACTGACAAAACTCTTCACACAGTCAGCGCAACAGAAGTGTATGTGGACCAAACTGTGAATCATTTTTCATTGCTTTCACACAAAATGCATTCAATGACCCCTTTCTCCAAAATTCATGAACTCTTTTCTCATAACTACTTCACCACTTGCAAAACACTGTCTATCTGCAGCACAATTTTCAAATGCTAACACACTGTGTCCAAAACTGTTAAAAACACATTCAAAACAGATTGATGGTAAATGTACTGCATTTCTGCAGTGACCAGATTGAAATAAGTAGAAAATCTTAGAAGGCAGAGAAACATAAAATAAGGACGAAGCAGTTGTACACTGTACCATTGAGAAATGTGAATTGAGAGAACTCATAGATAACATCACAATGTGTGCAACTGTCCAATGATGGTTTGCTGTTTGTTTCAACTTACAGTAAAATTTTTCACAGTTTACAATACTATCCACAGATATAGAACAAATAAAGGATATTGAAGCAAATTGCTGCAGCATTCTTGTACATATACTGTACCATCAAAGTGAAAATATGTTATTGTTATTGTATTCGCTCACGCTTCAAAGATAAAAGTTTTTCATTTATGTAATGCTCCCTGAGTGTTTTGTAGGTCAGTGTGTTATGAGTGAACTGTATCTTTCTAAATGAGAATTGTTGCCAGTGTTTTGGTTGAACGAGTCTATTTTGAGTCGAAGTGTTTTGGTGGTTTGAGTGACTTTTGGAGGTCAGATTAACTGTTTGGCCAAGATGCATGTTGGTAATGCAGACTGTGTGAAGAGTTTTGAAAAAGTGGCTTCAGTTGTGACCACTGCATCTTAGCAATTGAAAAAAAACTAATCAAGGATGAGGCACATAAGAATCAAGTAGACAGGAAACAAAGCTAGATAAAAACACAAATCACTACAATTACAAAATAAAAACAGGAAGTAAAGCTACAGACAATACACAAGGATATATGTAACTAAAGTTTTTTTCAATTGCTAACCTGCACTGGTCAAAACTGAAGTGAAATTGTCAAAACTCTTTACACAGTCAGTGAAAGAGAAATGTATGTGGACCAAACTGAATAATTTTTCATTGCTTTCACACAAAATGCATTCAATGACAACTTTCTCCAAAATCCATGAACTCTCATTACTACATAACCACCAGGAAAACACTATATATCCAGCACATTTTTCAAATGTTAACACACGGTGTCATAAAACTGTTAAAAACACATTCAAAACAGAGTGATTGCAAATATCCTGTATTATTGCAGTAGCAAGACAGATATATGGAAAATCTTAGCAGAACATTTACGTACAGTTTATGTTTACATTTAAGTGCATAGAGAAATGTGTGTAGTGTTCTGAATGTGGTATTATTGTAAAAGTAAATTACTGAGTGCATTTCTGATTACAGTTTTTTTCGATTGCTAAACGACAGTGAGCACAACTGGAGCTACATGTGCAAACTCTAACTATAGTCTGCACTACCAACAGTCACCTGAGCTAAACAGTTCACCTGCAAAACTCATTCCAAGCAACACAACTCTTAACACATGGCTCAAAACAGGCTCAGTGCAGCCAAACACTATGCACAGCCCTCACAGAGATAACACACACTGTCACTCAGAACACACAGAGAGTAAAAACACTAGCATCAAACACCAATACAGAAAATACAAACTTTTCATCTTTACAGTTTGAACAATTTCAGTGACTTCATACAAAGTAATATTTTCTTCAAAAGAAAAGAGTGACATTCTTTCACATGATTTATTAAAATTTTTAGAACATAAATCCTTAAGGTAAATGAAAATTAGTAGTTTGCTTCAATAGTCTGTAGTAATTTATGGAATTACAGTAATGAGAAAAAAAAAGATAGAAACTAAAAGTACATACTGTAATTCGAACAAATAATTGAGGGCTAATCCTGCCTCTCTCTAGCATCAGGCCACAGGTTTTCATCAACATCACATCTAATTTTCTCTCTTGCCATGCACCCGGGGAAGAACCTTCTGGAGTGCCTTATCCATCCCTGGCAGTCCTCTGGACTCGTGTCCTCACATCCGGCACGCATGGCTTCCAAAAGAGACATTTGGTCATGTGGGTGGTGCTCAAACACTTTCCACCTCTATGGGGTTGAGGAAGGGTGAATATGCAGGCAGGTACAAAACCATAAATCTGCGATGTGCTGCATACCAATCTGTGACAGCTGCAGAGTGGTGAAAAGCAACGTTATCGCAAACTATGACAAAAACTTGGGGGTTTCTTACTGGCTCCCCCTGTTCTGCTGGCACTAGCTGAGCATAGAGCTGTTCTAGGAAAGCTATAAGCCTTTCTGTGTTGTATGAGCCAAGGAGTGGTGTGTTGAGAAGCAAAACATCATTGGCCATTGCAGCACACATGGTGATATTTCCCCCCCTTTGGCCTGGAACCTCCACAGTGGCCCTTTGACCTATAACATTCCTTCCTCTGCACCATGTTTTGGCAAGGTTAAATCCAACTTCATCGATAAATACAAATGAATGTGGTGTTTCCAGAGCTTCCTTTCGGTCCTGTTGTAAAAATATATTTTACAGTCAAACTTACTGTAATATATATCTGTGTAAATATTCTATAATTGCAATACAAAATAAATTCCTGTAATGTTTTCATTTACTATAAGGATGTCACTCTCACCTGTTTGTATGATGGAAAATTCGCATTACAGATGCCACTGTGGATCTTTGCAGATTGGGTTGCACCCTCAACCCTGCCTCTCTCAATGAGAGACCATAGTTCACGACATGGTGTATAAGTGTAGCTTTTATTTCATCTGAAATAACAGCTCTTTGTCTTCTTTGTCTCCCTCCACGAACCCGTCTTCCTTGTTCCATTTCCAAAATTAGTCTTTCTGAGCTCTACATATATATATATATATATATACATACATACATACATACACACATATATATATATATATGTGTATGTATGTGTGTGTGTGTGTGTGTGTGTGTGTGTGTGTGTGTGTGTGTGTGTGTGTGTGTGTGTGTGTTCACTAACAAGTCCAAAACAACACACCTGCTTAGCCTTTCAGCTGAAATTGCAATCAGCAGTGTTTGAAAGGCACAAGGCTGAAATCTATTATGTTTTGAATGTGTGGTTCACAGTTTTGACAGCAGTGTGTTAGCATTTGAACAAAGTGCTATAAATCCACAGTGTTGTGCAGGTTGTGGTTAAGGTCATGGGATAAGTGTGTAGAGTTTTTAAAACTGTGTTCAAGCAATGAAAAATGAACTAGAGTTTTGTCCACATGAACTGCTGCTGTGCAGACTGAGTGACAGTGTGTGTTATCTCTGTGAGGGCTGTGCATAGTGTTTGCTGCACTGAGCCTGTTTTGAGCCATCTGTTAAGAGTTGTGTTGCTTGGAATGAGTTTTGCAGGTGAAGTGAAGTTTAGCTCAGGTGACTGTTGGTAGTGCAGACTGTAGTTAGAGTTTTGCACATGTAGCTCCAGTTGTGCTCACTGTCGTTTAGCAATCGAAAAAAAACTTTAATTCTTGCTACATATAGTTTAGTAAAGTCAATAAAGTGAAAATATGTTATTGTTATAGTTTTTCTCAGTCACTGTAACATTTGCAAAACTGTCAGTGCATTTGTACACAGTGGATTACATGCAAAAGCCCATGACTTGCTCAAAATTCTTAGATTATCTCTCAAAAAGAAATTATCATTGAACATATCAGTCCCATCAGAATGACAAGTCCTTGTGTCATTGTTTATGAAGAAGTTAGTCAAAATGTTCATGTTGTCAATATAACAGTGTACTCTGGAAGCGTTTTCTGATGTAAACTATGGATAAACTTTTGATGACAATGAAAATACACAAGGTTACACGTTTTCTCTATGGCATGTCTCAATTTCAACAGCACAAAATTATACATTACAAGAGATTGGACAATATTCACATTTGTGCCTTTACTGTTTTTACTGTAATTTGTTGACAAAGCATGTCAGTGTGACGCAGAAAAGAAAACCACAAGAAAGGTTTTACAGCACTGCATAGCACAGTGGAAAACATTAGAAAATACTGCAAGAAATGTAAACACCCCTAAGGCTGACATTGCTATCTGTCAGGCCACTGATTCTAATCCACATCACAATGGATATATTCATCAATTTAGGATACATTTACAAAAAGAATATCTAATAGACATGTATAGAAAATATGCTTGACAGATTATGACAACGTGTTCAGCCATTATGCAAGTAGTGATTTATGAAATTAACTTATGCCTAGATGTTTTGAGGGGTCTAACTATTCAACGGAGAACCAGTATAATCCACTGTCATCAACATGACATAAGCAACTGATAATGTAGGAAACAGCAGGCAATTTCAAAAAATATTTGCAATTCATTCAAAAGAATGAGAAATTGCTATTACGACATGCACAAATGACTAGATGATGTGGAGGGTGAACAAGTAGTTTTGAAAATTTAAATTCTGAAATGAGATCTGAGAAATGTTCAAAAGCAACTGAGAAAAACTGCAGTGTACAATGAAATAGTGATTTTATTCGTACTTCAAAGATAAAAGTTTATCATTTACGTAGTG